TTAGCCAAAGTTTGTCAAAAGTGGCTAGGAAAATTTTTGTATGTGTTTTGTCGCCGCTAATCTAGATCAAAATTGATTTTTCTCTGAATTTTAAAATTATTCCAAAAGCCATGCACTATAGTATATTGCTGTTTACTTTGTGAGAAACCCTGTTGACAATAATTTTGTTAATATTTTTATGACAGCTGAACTGTGGTTTTTAAAGCAAGCCTTGTTTCTGTTTCATGCAAAATTAAAACATATCAAAACTGTAATCGAGGTTTTGTAATTGACCCCAGGTCTTATTGTAAGTCCATTTCGATCCAAATAATTAGCAATTAATAACGACATCTAACTAGTAAAAATTGTAATTTTAACATAAACTTTTTCAGTGTAAAAATATAACAATTACCTTGCCTCAATTTCAGTAACAGTATTCATTAATAATATTTTTCTTTGAAAATTAATAAGTGCTAAGGTCATAATTATGACTCTAAATTATAATTTTACAGATATTATTATCAAAGACCACTGTGATAGAAGAGGGCTTACAATTGAAGACTTAAAGAGTTACCAGTGCTCTGAGAATGTTCTGGTTCAATTGAGTAAAAGCCTAGACAACTGGGAACTGCTTGGTTTCTACTTGGGACTGACAGTGCTTGAAGTTAAGGCCATAAAATTTGGTAGCAACAGTGAAGCAGAGAGAAAAATGAAAGCACTAAATAAGTGGAAGGAGAAAAATGGAAATGGTGCTACGTATTATAATTTTATTGGAGCTCTCAACAACAGTGATAAAGTTGGCATGGTTGACTTATCTTTAGACTTTTTAAAAGAAGGTAAAATAATTATTATAATTTAAGTAGTTTAATTCAGCTATATAGAGCTAGCTGTGAAACAGAAAACTGAAGAGGCAGTTGATTCTGACATACTGCAAAAAGAGGACATTCCACTTCTTTGTGGATGTGGAGTTTGTACACTAGATGATCTCCTTAAAAATAGTTGTTCAAGCCCTACAACAAAAAAGCATTTTCCTTTACTTCACTTTAATAAGTTAACTACAGACACACTTGTAGTCAGATTGATTAAAGAATCAAAGAAAGTTGGTGAAGAGTTTGCTGGCTTTCTTCATGAGATTTTAGCATATTTAAATGATCATATTGATGTCGATGAGCTAGTTTTGTATATTTCTTCCTTGCAGAAGTTTTCATTTCAAAATGATTCCAATAACGTTGAAGCCCAGAGCCAATTGAAAGCAGTTCAAATGAAGAGTGAAGTTATGAAGCTACTCGAAAACCATGTCGATTGGTTCAATCACAGTTTGATTGGCTCACTTGTTTATGAATTTAAAATCTCAATTAAAAGATATGAAGATTACGTGGAAAATTGCTTAAACCCATTTCTCAAAAGGTCACTTTTTGAAATTCCCAATATGTCTACAAACACATTTCAGGGCTCTGGTTACTTTGTTTTGAAAATGAAAGTTCCTTCTCCAATGAAATTTTTAGCAAATGCTCTCACAGCCTTAGAAAAGCAACTTGCTTCAGCACTTTGTGTTAGCATTGATGCATTAGAGTTTTGTTATCATGGCATTGATGAATTAACTTTCAGTGCACCTTACACTCTCCTCAAAGAAATGATTCCTAACAATGACAGGCTATTGCTAGTTTTACAAAATGTAGCTCCTGGGGTGAAGATACAAGCTATAGAATTTGAAGGAAACTCACAATTAGTAAAATCACCAGAGGTTTGTTTATTAAATTGATAAAATTTTATTATCTTAATTGTTCATATAGTTTGCCACGATACCCACTGTGAAATACTGTGCAAAGATGACAACAGTTGACCGAATGTTTGCATCATTAATGGTCAAGTTAGTTAGATCAATAGCTTTGAAAGGAGTAACCCTGGATGAATTGAAAAAGTTTATATATGATCTAATACCTCTACGAAGCTCTACTGACGTCCTTCCAATGTTCAATGCAAATTTAATCAATGAAATTAGTAGTGTTAGAGAACTACTAATGTTTTTAAAAGATTATTGGTCTTTTTGCAATTTTTCTCTTTTAAAAAAAGTTATAGACAAATTTGGTGACTATGATGTCAAGGAAAGCTTCAAGATGTACATCACAACTTTACAAGAACTCACTGTACAAGAAATACCGTTACTCCTTCACCACTGCTCAAGCATTGATGGCTTTTCTTCGGATGTTTTAACTGTTACTACAACAGATGATATACTCAGTTTTTCAGTGGAAAAGCTTCTTTTTATCCGAGACAGTATTGCCCGAATTCTTCAAATTGAAAATTTCGCTTTAATTTTACTACAAATCAACAAAGTTGAGAAGCAGCTTAAATTTCTTGTTGCTAGTCAAGTTACTGTCAACGTTAGTGCTCTCGCATTTTCATCAGTTCATGAGGCTCATATTAAAAGTCTTCAATATCAAGAAATTGAACAGAGTCATGATAAAGATTTTTCTGAATCTGATGATGACATTGCCAATAATGAAGGTTTGGATTTTTTATAATGTTTTTCTATACACTATAAATTTAGATGATAATAATTATGACAGTTCTGGCTTGGAAACTTATACCTCAGAGTTTGAGCAAGGTAACTTGAATTATTTTATTGAACAAATTTATTTGATTGATTTAAACAATAGAGCAACCAAAGTATGTCTCATTACCAACAACAGATTTGCCAGATGATGGTATGCATTTATCAATACATGTTTGTATCTAATTTGAAAATTTTTAGGTGATACTGCAGAGGAAAAACAAAGTATGACATTGTTGACTCATACAGATCGAGTTGATATCAGTTCTTTAGGTCAGTTATGCTACATGTAGTTTATTTTTTATTAGTTTTTCAAAATTAAGTTTTAGTGTCTTTTTTTTTAGTTGCATACCATGCATGTTTTTGTTTCTTTATAAGGCTAAGACCATTAACTATTGGTTCAATTTTTCAGCACTAAAACTGATTTAGCTTGTTATTGCATTCCATAATA